GTCCTCTGTAAAGTTCCACAAATGCCCCTCTTATCATCTTCTCAGCACACTGAATTTTTTTGCGATTAATGTACTCACCACCATTTGCTCCCTTTTTGGGGTTATTCACCATGTCCTCCCATAGCATAGATGTGAGGGCGGCTATCGTTCGTGTCGGCGTGGTGGCCGGAATATCAATTCGCATGGCCATCGTCTTCGGCTTGCCCTTTTTAGTCTTTTCCCTTGTGGCCGAGTTTACGAAATTAATGCCATTTTTTTCAAGTGCGGCAATTACATCTTCTGTTTGGGAATCTATTGGGCTGTCACAATATTCAGAACTCTGACTTTCTGAATTAATGAAAACTAAAATTAGATAATCATATTAATGAAAACTAAAATTAGATAATAATTAATTAGGTGGACCCGAAGTAATATATATTTGCCATCTAATAAATTAATTATAATTTTCTAAATTAACAAAAAATATTTATTTATTAGGTTTATATGTTTGTCACTTAATGAATAATTATAGATGATTCAAGTAGTTGATAACAAATTGAATAAAAAAAATTAGTTAATTGTACAAAGGTATTTAATTTAGTAGATAATTAACTTTCAGTATGTAAAAGTAAGTAATGTTACAATATGCAATTCTATATGTACTTTTTTCAAAACTAACTTTTCGAATTACGTATTAAACAATTATTCTTAAATTTTAAAATTAATAGAGAAAAATTATTTTCTCTATTATATAGTTCAGAATGATAATTATTATTTGTGCGGCTTATATGTGTCATATTATTGTAATTTTTATATCTTAAATCATATAACTACTTGAAATATAAATATATTAATTGATAAATAATTTTAATTTTTTAATTAATATTAAAAAACAATTTTATTATTGTTATAAAGATAAATATAATTTATTTTCTTTTTATACTACAATATGAATATTAAATCGAAACTCATCAAGAGATGATTAATTTGATATATTATATATATATAAAACTGATAAAAAATACAGACGTTTACTAACTTTTAAAATATGTTTACAATTTAATGGTTATAATAAGAAATGATATTAAAATGCAATTAATACATGTAACATGACCATAAATAATCGAATATTTATGGATAATCTATATTATTTATGGATAATTGTACCTAATTATTTTTAATTAAAAGTAAATTAAAATATACCAAAGCCTAATAACAAAACATATAATTTTGTTACATAGAATTCTAAAGAATGCGAGCGCCTGCCACAAAATTTTAGCAATAATTACATGAAAAATTCGTACATTTTTTTTGGGTGTACGATAATAGCAAATTTACGGCTCCTGAAGACGCGTTTGGAAATAGACACGTAGCCATTTTATTAGTACCACAAAAGATATGACTATATTCTTTCACTAAAAAAAAAAAAAAGAATGAAACCGAACAAAATATTAATAATCAATGAAATTCAATAATATAGAAATTAAAATTTAGTTATTATAGCATTGAACTTTTTGTGAGATAATTAATTAGTAATGATTCTGTTAAAAAAATAGTGGCACCACCGAAAAGATAATAACACGTGTAAGTGAATATCACGATATTAACATTATGAATTTAGCTTGTCCGCAACAAAATATTTGGTTAAAGAGAGTTTTTGCGGTCCTGTTACGTAGTCATTTCGACGGGTTTATAACTGTTAGATCAACTATTCACGACAGTTACATGATAATTTAATGATTATAAATCCCAATGAAATAGTTCCGTAACGAGACCAAACATTTTCCATAAAGATATGTTTCATTTATGGGCTTTCAAATGGGTTCTTTTTTCACCGGCTTTTGGCCATTGAAATTTGCCACCCAAATTGATACACCAACATTTCTTAATTTTATTTTATTTTCTTTATTTTTTTTTTATTTTTCTAGTGCAAAGTCGTGTAGGACTTCTATATTGGTCTCAAATTTCAATGGACGCAACTACCTTTAATAATTACTTTTTCAGTTTTTTATGGTCAATTTATACTATGTTTCGTACACTCCAATACTTTTTCCAATAAAAATAATTAATTACATAAGCACCCCTCAATAAGATTATAGTGGAGTAACTATAATAATTTCATTTTCCATTTGGGCCGTCCACTACTTTTAGCTTTTAGCACCGAATTCAGAATAAAAATTAATTATTACTACTCAATTTGAAATAAATAAATAATTAAAATAAAATAAAATAAAATAAAATCTACCACTCACTCACATATTTATACCAATCAATTACAATTTTGGGAGATACTACAGTCCCGTTACGAAACCATTCCGTCAGAGTTTGTAACCGTTAGATCATCATGTAACTGTTGGGATAGTCGATCTGACGATTACAAATCACGACATAATGGTTCCGTAACGGGACCATAGCATTTTCCTACAATTTTACTATTGTTTTCTAAATCACATCATTTTATATATCATAAAAACTAATGATTCATTTACTTAATCTTCTTTGTCTAAGTGAAAAACTTTGCAAATGAAAATTAAGTAACTCACCTGAAAAATCCGAATTCCGGCCAGACGGTGAGGTTGTCCGAGAGAGAAACGCCGAACTGTCGCCCGACCTGGCGGCTTGGGTTTTTCGGCCGATTACGCGCTTGAGGTCGAGCAAAATCTGAAGCTGCTTATTTAATATCTCTCCTCTTTCAAGGAACTCGCTCTCTTTAGTTCGGTAGAATTTGTTTACTTTATTAAGCTCATCGTCTAACGTCTCGAAAAACACTTTAACCTGTGTCCATGCACATAAAAACCATCTAAACATTTATGCCCATGTTTTTTCTAAATATATAGTGAATATAACTTAAAAATATATAGAAAAAAAGAAAAATAATTTAATAGTGAAAAATAAGGAAAAATAATATAAAATAAAATAAATGGTAGGGGACAAATATA